ACAGTTCAACCCTGACTAGTATTCGTAAGTCCATGGAACTAGTTCCCTGAATCCAAGAAGGCTTTACACACACACCGCAACAGCTGTCACCTCTCCCATTATGTTTCATAATACAGTGTTGTTGTTTTTTGAGAGGCATCTCAAAATTAGTCTGTGATGCAGCAATGAGGAGGGAGTCAACTCTTCAAAATAAAAATAAAAATCCCTTGACTGCACAAAAACCCTCAGACAAAACTTCAAGTAGCTCTGCTTTCAATATGGCTTGGAAATCCCCAGTCCTCCACAGCAAAGAGCCAGTCTCATTTAACATAGAGATGCTTACGTCTGAGTAAACAGGCTTAAGACTACACCATTAGGAATACTGGTGTATATGTGGAAAAAGCTACAACAGTGGTTTATAGACAGGTTGACAGCAATAATTCAAGAGTCTTCCGAAGGAGGATTTATTCCAAAACAAATTGGGCCTAATCAACCCTTTTCCTGTGCACCTGGAAGTCTCCTTCTGTGATTGGCACCTCCTCATTTGGTCTTCCTGCGCACATACAGCAAATAAGTCCATTAAATAGGCAGGTCTAATCCCATGAAAATTAACAGGCTTAAGGTGCTTAACTTTGTTTGGAATTTGGTTGCATGGTGTAGTTTTGAGAACACAACTTCTTTCTATTGTGTACATTCTTGTTATAGACTATGATTTTGTATATTGTGCTGCTGTTAGGTTTATCCCAGAGAGAGGCCCCAGAAGCAGAAATCAATTTTATCTTAATGTTTAAAAAGATCTGGAGAATGTTACTGTATATATGCAGAGAGAGAGAGAAAGAGTCTGCTGCTGAAAAGGCATAAGAATTAGCACCAGGTAACCTTTGCAGAGGAGAGGGTTCCATAAGTGAGGCATCACAGCTGAAAAGGCTTTTTTCCCTGAGAGACACCTATCTAACCTCTAATAGCAGCAGCATCCCAAAAAGGTCCATTTACTCTGATGTTAGCACAGGAAATGTGACCGGAAGAGGACCCTGAGGTCCCAAGGCTTATCAGTGTTAGAAACTTGAAGGAAGAAACTCCACCTCCATCGTTCTGCGCGGAAGTGTCCAGTGCCGAGGGCCTTCTGGCGGTTCCCTCGCTACAAGAAGCCAAGTTACAGGGAACCAGGCAGAGGGCCTTCTCGGTAGTGGCACCCACCCTGTGGAACGCCCTCCCATCAGATATCAAAAAGAAAAATAACTATCAAACTTTTAGAAGACATCTGAAGGCAGCCCTGTTTAGGTAAGCTTTTAATGTTTAATAGGTTATTGCATTTTAGTGTTCTGTTGGAAGCCGCTCAGAGTGGCTGGGGAAACCCAGACAGATGGGCGGGATATAAATAAATAATAATAATAATAATAATAATAATAATAATAATAATAATAATAATTTATTAACTCAAATATATCAGCTAATCACCAAATGGCACCTTAAACCTGGGTCACAGTTTCTACAATGGCATGTCTAGGCATCTTTTCTTTTTTGAAGTGAAATTTATTTGTTGTTTTGTCATTTAGTCGTGTCCGACTCTTCGTGACCCCATGGACCAGAGCACGCCAGGCACTCCTGTCTTCCACTGCCTCCCACAGTTTGGTCAAACTCATGCTGGTAGCTTCGAAAACAGTGTCCAACCATCTCGTCCTCTGTCGTCCCCTTCTCCTTGTGCCCTCAATCTTTCCCAACATCAGGGTCTTTTCCAGGGAGTCTTCTCTTCTCGTGAGGTGGCCAAAGTATTGGAGCCTCAGCTTCACGATCTGTCCTTCCAGTGAGCACTCAGGGCTGATTTCCTTCAGAATGGATACGTTTGATCTTCTTGCAGTCCATGGGACTCTCAAGAGTCTCCTCCAGCACCATAATTCAAAAGCATCAATTCTTTGTCAATCAGCCTTCTTTATGGTCCAGCTCTCACTTCCATACATCAGTACTGGGAAAACATAGCTATGGTTTTCCCAGTGAAATTTATTATTATTATTCATTTCATTACTATAACGAAAAAAAGCTCAAAGTGGTTTACAACACATTAAAACATCAAATGAAACAATCCAAAATAAAACAAATTCAAGCTTCAAGGAAAATATTTCAGATCCTTCTCTGGGTGACATATTTGCTTTTCCCATACTTATTTACCTACTTAATTTAGTTTGCTGCCCCATAGCAGAAATACTATAGGAAGCCAGTGTGGTGTAGTGGTTAGAGTGTCGGACTAGGACCTGGGAGATCAGGGTTCAAATCCCCACTCAGTCATGAAGCTCACTGGGTGCCCTTGGGCCAGTCACAGCCTCTTAACCTCATCACAGGGTCGTTCTCAGGATTAACTGAGGAGGGTGGTGAACCATGTACCGTACTCCTTGGAGAAAAAGGTGGGATATAAATGCAGTAAATAAGCTCTTCTGCTTACCTGCTTAAGAGAGCTGGAGGGGCCAGCCAGATGGAGATGTCAGTCACCAACCTGGCATCCACATAGTCACAGTTGGACCCATGCCAGTCTCAAAACGCGCCTGGCGCCTGGGGGATTTCAAACACTGCTTATAAGGCTTTAAATTGCTCTTAGAATTTGGGGCTGATCGACAACAAAGCTGTTTCAGAACCAGCAAGATGTGTTACATATAGCTCATCTCAGTTAGTCTAACAGCATTCATAAATTTTCAGAAAGTTTCAAAGGCAGCTCTGTATACAACATAGCGCCATAATCTATTCAGGCAATCACCAAAGTAAGGATGACTGTGGCTTATCTCTGCTTAAAAGGGACCACTGCTGGTATACCAGCCTTAGCTAATGGGAAATGTTTTGTGCTTCTTAAGCCACGTAGGCCTCTGGTGACAAAGCTGGGTCAATCAACACCCACCAAACTGCATATATGATCCTCTTGTAGGGTGCGATCCTCCCAGAATGAGTTGAACCCAAGCCAGACAAACTACCCAGCAACATCAGCTCCATCATATCTAAATTGAGCTTATTTCCCTCGCCCTCATCCATGCCATCCCAAATCCCAGACATCAATATTTTGCACTTCTAAAGCTTCGCTTGAATAAGATAGGAACACAAAGTAGAGCTCCATGTTACCAATGTATTGAATGCCCCTCTCTCCAAATCCCATGATCATTTCTCTCCATCAGATACTTTCACTCTCACATTTGTCCTGGGTTGTTACAGGCAATGGACACCTTCTGAGTGTCAGCATTTTGTGGAATGGAGTCAAACCATACCAGAAATTTAGGTTTGTGCAATTAAAGTAGATCAAAGCACTCTGTTTCCCTGGCACAAAAAATCTACACTGAAAAGTGTAGGATGAACAAACAATTCATGGGAAGATGTATAAACATCATGCAAGCAAATCAGGATGAATTTTGAAAGAATGCTCATGGCCATATAACATCACCACAAACAAATGTGAACAAATGCTCAACAAAGGCAAGTCATAGTCTAACTGCAGCACAAGCTTTCTTCAAACAAATCAGGTTGGATACTTCATAAACAGGTTATCTGAAGACACCAAAGGATTCAGCACCCAAAAATATCTCAAGGTCTTCATCCATAGGTTGCACTTCACCCCTGAAGTGCTCTACACCAAGACTACAGTTGGTGCACCTCCTGTACAGTTAATTCACTAAAGTCCACTCCACTTTTCTTCCCCTTGTGTTCTGGTGGAAAAGAGGTGGGTGGACAAAGAGACTAGTGCAGTACTTTGAAGAAGTTGCCTAATACTTTAGAACTTTCAAAGGGATGGCCACTGTCTTCAGGTAAAGACTTTGCAACCTGGAGATGGTACAGAACTTTTAAGAGTTCTGCCTGGCATCTGAATGGACAGTATTATCTCCTATGATTTGATTAATGTTCCATTCGTATAGTGGCTTCCAGGCACAAAGCTCAGAAGGGATGGCATGGATTAATCTCCTGTTTGCTACATGCAACTCCCTCCCCTCAGCTATTATCACAATCTAGATTTTGAGGGGCCTGTGGATAAGATGCCTTCAACACTTCCCCATTCCTGCATGGACTTGCTTCCCTGTGACTGCTGTCACTGACTTCCTCTCCCTGAGACCATCTTCACCATTGCCCCAAAGGGCAATGTTCCTTCTTGTTGTTTCTACTGAATGAACAAGATACAACAGCCAGATAAGCAGAGACAGGGGATGGGGGGGATCTGCAGTGGTCCCCATAACTGTGGTGGCAGCCTTGACAAGCTCCTGACACTGACACCCCCTGGTGCCTACATAGCACCTTAAGGTTGGTGCTGCATGTGATCAGTAGCTGAAAAGGATCAGAACTGGTTCTAGGTTACATGAACTATTCTCCGTATTTGATCCTCTATCCTGCTTCTCAGTCTCTGAACTTTTTAAAAATGAGGGACAAATAGACTCTCTATAAATGGAGAACAAGTCAGAGCAAAACATTTTGACTTAGGAGACACAATATAAGGGACATCAAACTTTCCATTCCCATATTTAAAGATATGAATTGGGGATCTCATCTTTGGAGTTTCCAGGATTGAGGCTGTGATCTTTCCGCAAAGTCAAATCATCAACTTGGGACAAAAATCGAGCCTTTTTTTTACTTGCCAGGAAACAGCTCGTCCCTAGTGCCAGTGACACAATGCCAAGGCTGCGTTCCCTGAGTTCCCTTTGCCTCACTGAATCAATAGAGCGCCACCCGCTTGAAAGTAAGAGGATTCCCGCCAGAAAGAGCCACCTTTCTGTCTGGGAATCTCTAATCACTGTTCAATGATCAAGTTGAAAAGCAATGAAAGGAGGAGGTGGAAGTATTGCACCCGAATACCCGGAGCACTTCGGGGGTCTTTATACTGCAAAGAAAGGGCCCTGCAGAGGTTGTTGCGCTCCAATTCCCAACAGTCCCAGGCAGCATGGTCAATGGTCAGGACTGATGGGAGTGTGGAGTCCAGAAACATCTGGAGGGGGTCCCAGCTCTCTCGCTGCTCTCCCCCAAATAAGAAACCAGGCTCCTCATCCCTCCCTTCAACTCACCACTCAGGACTCGCAGCGAGAGGCAACTCTGAGCCCACAGCCAACAGTAGCCCAGCAGCAGCAGCTGGGGACGCCTTCCGCACGGAAAAGGGAGCATCGCAGCGGCCGAGGGAAGAGGCGATGGGCGTCTGAACAAAGTCCCCGAAGTGACAGCAGCAGCAGGTTAGGCGGGCAGGCACCCTCAGCGCCTGCGCAACGGCCGGTCCTCCGCGGGGAAGATGTTTCAAAGCGGGTCCCTTCAAAGCTCCAAACGACTGCAGGAGCGGCAGCCGCCTTGAGGAGATCCCTGAGAGCCAGCTGTTGCCCTGCCCGCTGCCGCTGCGCGCATCTCCGTGCGCCAAGGAAGCGCGCGCGTTTTTGCAGGACCCCTTTGGGCGAGAAGGAGAAGCGTCTTGTCCAAGGGAGGAGGAGGAGGAGAAGCAGCAGAAGCAGGAAGCACTGCAAGGTCTCCCTTCTCCTCGCCTTGGCCTGCCTGCGCCTGGCGACGCTGGACGCGCAGGGAGAAAGAAGGCGCAAGCTGCTGGCTCCTGGTTATATAGCGGCTCCGGCCAGCCTCCCGGAGCCTCTGCGTTGGGCAGGGCCAGCCCCGCGACTATCGATTTCTGGTGCGAAATGCAGCGCTGCAGCTTGGGAGGGGGCCGAGCGCGAGGCGGGGGGCTGGGCTGGGGGCGGGGGTCCTGAAAGCCGCGGATTCAGCAGCCCCCTCCTCAAGGCAGAGGGCTTTCCAGAGCCGCAGAGGCGATTAAAAGAGGGCGACGGTGCCAAACCGCGAAAGGAGCGGGTGGCCTCCCTGTCTTTCTGCCACCGCGCAGAAGATGCTAACGGGCGGCTGCAACCCCCCCCCCCAAACCCCTCTCTGGGAAAGCAGCGTGACTTTCTGGCTTTATTCTACCGGCTCTTTGGGCTTCCTTGTCGCTTTAGCGCACGCTCAAGGCGCCACTTCTGCAATCCGCGCTGCAGCCAGGCAAGATTGGGTGGTGGTGAGGCAGAATATTTCTGGGCATATACAGAGCGCCTTCCCCATATTACTGGAGGTGTAGGCATATGTAGCAGCACCCATTTCTATACGATCAGAGGGGAGACGGAGTTTTGGCATCGCCTTGCCTTTAGGCTGCGGTTTTGCCATTTGTGGATTACATGAAGCCAAGAAGGCTCTTTGATGGGCCAGATGAAAGGCGTCTATAAATAAACCCTAAGCAGTCTGAAGGCTCAAGACCAGGATCGATCCTACCCGCCGTTTTGCTGCCTAAGGCAAAATGCTGCTTCACCCGCACCCTGCTCCAAAGTCGGGGTCACTCAGCTTTTGGGTTCTGGCGAGGTCGCTTTTCCTAACTTATCTGGTGACAGGGGGTGGGTGGGAAGTGCCCGAGGTGGCACCAGAGAAGCACAGGCATGTCCTACCTCTCCACCCGCCCACGCCAGAGAAGTGAGGAAAAGGGGCGGCAGCAGTGACTTCCAGGTTCCAGCAAAATCTCCCTGGTAGCCAGGAGCCAGATGCACGAAGTTCTGCCCCAGGTTGGGGGGGGGCAGCAATGCTGGGTTATGCAACTATTTTCTTCAGTGGTGAAGAATCCTCGCGGCTCTATCAGGATCAGCAATGTAGGCCAAATTCAACAGGTGGATGGGCATGTTTGCTTGTCAATCACATGGTGCCATTATGGCTTCACATGAGTAACAGATAGGTTGGCCCATGAGCATAGCCTAAAGGGGCAGCAGGGGGGAAGCTGCCCCCTAAATCGCTGAATAAAAATACAGAACTAACTGAGGTTCTGCCTCCCCCAACATAAAGCCTATGCGCACCACCTGTTAAAATCCATGGCACAGTTCTCAAGCACCCACTGCTGCTGTGGGAGACCCAAGAAAGTGAGACATTGGAGGGTTGGCATGGGGCAGCTTTCAAAAAAAAAAACCTCCTTGAGCTAGACATGCTCCTATCACCCCAGGCGTTCCTCCTTTCATTCACCCATGAGTTGATGGGCAGTTGGAAGCATGCCTAGTTCCAGCAAAAGAGCCACTGGAATCCCACTTCAAGTCCTGGATTGTTCCTTTTAAGCCCCACCCTTAATCCCCCACACCTGGCATCATGGATGACATTAGCTTTGTTTGCCAAATGGGTAGGACTGGTGGACCAAGTCTGGCCCACAAGGTGGAGGTTCCTCACCCCTGATTTTCTCCAACAGCACAGTGCCACTCCCCCATTCCCAGCACCTGTCACCTGAAGCGCCTGCCTCAGTCAGCCTAATGGTAGGGCAAGGAAGGGCCAAAGCTAAGGGCTACTTCTTATGCAGTGCTTTGCACTGAGACCTCAAAGCACACTTCAAAATATATGTAGACCAAAGTCATGTGCAAAGAACACACAAGGAGAAACCCAAGCTTTCCCTATCAAACTACTATTGCCCAGTCACCACTTGTGTGTATTTGAAGGGGAAATGCATCTGTTTAAATATTTTATTTATTTATTTCATTTCATAAAGTTTATACACCGCTTAATCATTTTTTTTATTAAAAAAAAACCTCTCAAAGCAGTTTACAAAAAGATGAAACAAAATCAAGGGGGGAATACAATAATGATTTTAAACATATAAAAAGTTAAAATACTAAAAGAGGTTATGATTCACATCAACTTTCTGAGCATCTGGGTGTATGCCCTTCATCCTGAGGCAATGCATTTGGGAGCTTTTTGTATTCAGGGATCTCTGCACAAAAGCACAAAATGTCTCACAAGAGGTGTCTCTGTAATGCAGTTCTAAGTGCTTATTTCTGGGATTTACTTCCAAGCAATGCTATAATAATTTAGAAATGGAATCAAGTCACTTGTGTGCAGTCACTTTTGTACTTGCGGGCAGAGGGTGATCACTGGGTTTGGACCCATATAGTGGAAAGATATTGGTAAGTGGAACTTACCTACTGCCAACCAGAAGAAAAACTGGAGCTCAGCATTATCATGGTGCTCCCTCAGCTGTAGAAGAAATACATAGAAAAAACCCTCATTTGTTAATGGGACTGTGGATAATGACCCCCCCTCCCGAATTTCCCACAATCCTGGGTATCTGCAGTTCTGACTCATTTAAACCTCAGATGCTTTTCCATCTGAAATGCATATTAACATAGCCTCCTACTACAAGACGTTAAAAAAATGGATTAAATGCTAGCTTGCTCTTTATGGTTCCATGGGTAGATTGAGATAATGAAACAGCTGCCTTTTTTATGAACAGCCACAGAGAATCAACAGGACTAATCTAATAGTTTGGGGACCAAAATCTTTCTTAAGCTCATTGCCATATCTGAAGTCCTCACTGATGCACAGGATGGTGCTTTCGAGATAAACCAAGAAGCCAACCAAGTAATTAAAAAGAAGCTACTAAAGGTCCCTGGTTGGCACTCATTGCATGATTAACAATCAAGAAACAATGGACTAGTTTAGACTTTATTTTCCCCAGTGCAGGCCCTGGAAAAGACCTTTTCTTGATGGCAACTGGGAAGAGCCGTGTAAGCAGCCTGTATCTTATGCCTGCTTACCTGCAAGTAATTGTTACTGTGTTCGGTGGGCATTATTGACTCTCTAGTGCAGGCAGAGGCAAACTCGGCCCTCCAGATGTTTTGGGACTACAAATCCCATCATCCCTAGCTAACAGGACCAGTGGTCAGGGATGGTGGGAGTTGTAGTCCCAAAACATCTGGAGAGCCAGGTTTGCCTATGCCTGCTCTAGTGAACCTTCCTTAGGAATGTAACCATAAGCCATCCTTATGCTGCCTGCAGAAGGTAAGAGTACTGCTGGATTAGACTAAAGTCCATCTCGGGTCTAAAATCCCCTACAGAAGACCACAAGCAGGAGAGAAAGGCAACAGCCCTCTACCATGAAGGAACTGGCACTACTGCAGGTGCCTCATAATACCTGCTCCACATTTAGTGTGGCAGTGCCTAAACTTTGGAACTCCCCGCCTCTTGACACAATCAAGTGCCTTCCATTTAGTCTTTTCAGCACCTGCTAAAAACATCCCTGTTTAGACAAACCTGCTCAGATGCTTAGCATGTTGAGGTAATTTTAATCTGTTTCTGCATTATAACATTATTCAAAAAATTTCACACAAGGAAAATTATGTGGCTGAGCCAATCCCAGTGCCTTTTGACACACAACAGTAAAATCTGTATCCCGATTCGCCTTGCTTGTGAATTAAATGAAGTGGCACATTGAATGGAATGTCCATTTTCAATCTTAAAATGGCTGTCCTCCCTTCTGCATTAATAAGTTATGCACCATATATGAAAACAGTACTGACAAAAGCCTGGCAACTTTGCTAATGCTTCAAAATACTGCACTTCTATTGGGAATACTCTAATTTATAATAGATCTCATGAGTTATGGGATTTGATTCTTAAATAATCTATATAATAGCATATCTATATCTATGTCTAGACCTAGCTTTAATATCAAATGCAAATTGTGGTTTTCAAGATCCAGCACAGAGATTTTAATCCTTAATAGTTTAATATTTAATAGCTGAACAGATGGATTCTCAAAGTCACTGAACAGCCTCCTTCATTTATCCACAGGGCATACAACATTTTGAAAAGTCCCCATTGCTTGCTTGTATTTATTGCACATCACTTCACACATTTGTAGGTGGAGAGGCATTAACTCTATACATGCTGGTGTCAGATAAGTTCTGTTCATTCAAATTCTATTTCTGGCTGCTGTGACATCTAAGGATATTTTATATTTCATGTCAATGTTTTATCCCTAATAATCATCTATACTTGGTAATTAACATTTTAAATAGCTCACTTGAGGTTTATTCAGTATCTGACACCTGACATCAATAGCCTTTTGTGAATGCGGTCTTTAGTGCTAATTTTGCAACACAATCCTAACCATGTCTACTCAGAGGTAAGCCCTATTAATTCAGTGGGGCTTACTCTCAGGCAAGCAGGGTTATGACTGCAGACTTACAGCACAAACTTAACCTTGTCTACTCAGACGTAAATTCTATTGAATTCAATAGAGAGTACTTCCAAGTACTTAGAATTGGGATTGCAGCCTTAGCGATTCATTTAGCTATTTGGGAAACATTCCTTTACAGAGCAACCCTATGCATGTCAAATCAGAAATAAGTCTCCTCCTTAAGTGTAAGTTATGTCTACAGGACTGCAACCTTAAAGAGATAACAAAAATAGTAATATTTTGAGATAAAAAAATTGATTTGGGTAAAGTCAAACTGGAATTTTTAAGGATATTTAATTTCAGCTCTAGCTTGCAGTCCTGTGAATCTTAACCTTATCTGATGTTTCCTTTTAATAGTATTGAAAGTCAAGACTAGAAGAGAATCTCTGGAACAATGTTTCCATTTTTTAAAGGGAAATTCCCTTATTCCAAATAGGATTCCTCACAAGAAAAGGGAAAAGTTGACAGCTATGAGTGGAAATAGTCCTGTAACCTCACAACATCTCCTTCTCATTGCACGTCATGTGGTTTACAGTCAATATGGAGGTGCAAGGAATCAGTGATGTTCCATTTTACTTTATGCAGGCAAAGAAAAGGCTGAAAACTTGGGATGAAGTAAATGTCTCTCCATGGAAGCTAATTGTTTGAGGAGGAGGATTAAGATGAACCCCATA